TAAGCAATTTAGAGAGCATGATTAGAATTGAAAACGCTCCTGATAGGAGCGTCTAAAGTCATAGGCTTCAAATTCAAAATGCTGACCTTAGAAAGGAGCACTCAAATGTGCAAGTACAAGGCGAGGGCAGATCCTTCCTCTGCTTTTAAAAAATGGCTGGGGAGGGAGGGCAGGAGCTGTGTCGGGAAACTGACAGATTGTTCTGGAAAGGGGGAGAAGGAGCAACCTTGATGCTTTTGAGACGTAGAGGGAAAAAAATTAAACCATCTTTAATGTTGAGTTCATGGGCATTATGTATCATAGTCATGGCCTGCTGCACTCCCAATACATCGTACAGAAAAGGAAGAGAGCTGCATCCGAGGGCAGCGGGCGCACTGGTTAGTGCTGGGTGGCTGGCCAGCTGGCAGGGCAGGGGCAGAGGATGGCAGAGGAAAAGGAGCCTAGTTGAAAGATATTGTGTTAGTGCTGTGATATTTCTATGTTCTCCTGGAGGAATTTTCTCTTGCTTTGCTGCAGAAATCCCGACAGCAATTCAACAAGGAAAATGCAAATAAGGTCACTTCTTCCCTACAGGACTGCAGGATGCCCTGCGAGAAATCCATATCCTTGCTCGTCAGGAGTATTAGTTCAGCTACATGTGCTTTTATTCTAAAATAACACTATCTTGCTTTTGGGGTTTTTTTGTTTGTTTGTTTGTTTTAAGCCTGGTTATTTCTGTTTTGTTCTTCTCAGGCCACAATAGAATTACAATTAACTATTAAAACCACTCAGCTCCCATGCTTGATCAGTTCTCAGGGCACTGGGTTACAACCCAAAGGCACAGCTACACCTTCGGTGTAGAGGATCTCATGCTTACTGTAGCCTGGAGGTAAGCACAGGGTGGCAGCTCCTGCCTGCCACCAGCCCTGCACAGGCGTAACCACAGCTGGCAGCTGCCACTGAACCCAGCGGGGAGCAGCAAAAGCGGGTCGCACTGAAACAATCAGACATCCACGGCTTGGTCCCTTCCACTTTGGGATGGATTCGCAGTGAAGAGGAGCCTGAAATCCATTGTACATCTCCCTAAAAACACACACAGACAGACACATGCGATGAGGAAAGCAATAGCACAAAAAGCCTTCTTGCCCAGGAACGTGATCAGCTCAGAGCTAAGTATGAGCTGTGGCAGCTGCCAGCCAGCTGTAGCTGCAATGCTTACCCTGGAGTTTGTGAACCTGCCAAATGACCACCAATTAACCTCTTTCACTTACTCATCAGTGCAAGAAGGAAGGCACCTCCCCTTCTTTCCCAGCTTTTCACAGTGCTCAGGATCATAGTTGGGGGGGGGGGGAA